AGTAGACAAATCTAAAATTCACCAAAACTGAATTTGTTTCTTCAATTGGAATGTTTATTTTTTTATCACTTGTTTCTGTGTAATCAGGTAGAAATGTCGGAAATACGATCTATTGTAAGCCAGGCTACTTCGAGAAGCCTAGTGCTCATAGATGAGATATGCCGAGGGACAGAGACAGCAAAAGGGACCTGTATTGCGGGTAGTGTGATCGAGAGTCTTGACACAAGTGGTTGTTTGGGTATTGTTTCTACACATCTCCATGGGATCTTCAGTTTACCTCTTACAGCCAAAAACATCACATATAAAGCAATGGGAGCAGAGAATGTCGAAGGGCAAACAAAGCCAACATGGAAATTAACAGATGGAGTCTGCAGAGAGAGTCTTGCGTTTGAAACAGCTAAGAGAGAAGGCGTTCCCGAGACAATCATCCAAAGAGCAGAAGCTCTTTACCTCTCGGTTTATGCAAAAGATGCATCATCTGAAGTTTTCAAACCCAACAAAACTGAAACTTCATCCAACAGGGACCAGCAGATCCGCAGACCAGTCACCTCTGAGAGAACCTTGGAAAAGGATTTGGCAAAAGCTATTATTAAAATCTGTGGAAAAAAGATGATTGAGCCTATAGCTTTAGAATGTCTTTCAATCGGTGCTCGAGAATTGCCACCTCCATCTACAGTTGGTTCTTCATGCGTGTACGTGATGCTGAGACCCGATAAAAAATTGTACATTGGACAGGTAGGTACATACTTACCATATCACTCTCTGTAACCTTTGCCTAGAGCAGCCGAAATATCGAATTCCGAGTAATGTGTGTATGTTATGAAACTGCAGACGGATAATCTTGAAGGACGAATACGTGCACATAGGGGAAAGGAAGGACTGCAAGGATCAAGTTTTCTATACCTTGTGGTGCAAGGTAAGAGTATGGCATGTCAGCTAGAGACGCTTTTGATTAACCAGCTTCATGAACAAGGCTACTCTCTAGCTAACCTAGCCGATGGAAAGCACCGCAATTTCGGGACGTCCTCAAGCTTGACTACGTCAGATATAGTCAGTATCTCCTAGTTTCAGAATTAGGTTTGACTGTACTAATTGATCATCTCTCCTCTTTTGGGTTTGTGTAATTGCACAAAGTTAGTTTGGCTAGAGTTAAGAGTAGATTACTGAGCTTAAGGAAAGGAAAGAATGCATGACGTTTTGCTTTTTGAGGTTTTTTGAGATTTTGCAAACGGCACGCAGTTCTTGCACAGCGGATGCAGGCAGCAATTACCAATTTTGGGACTTGGGTGTAATTGTCGTTTTCATTTATCCGATAATGTAATAATATATGTTTAACGAAAATTATTCGTACCTAAATGATTTAGTAGATTTACCGGGTTTTAACTCTTCTTTGAAATCTAGTACACATTCTGAATGAATCATTAGTTGTCTTAACTCGTCTTTGTAGATTTAAACAAGTACATTTTCTATTACAAACGTGATAGAAAAAAGGCTTCAAACTAATGCATGAATAATCATACGCA